TTGTAAATATTGTGTGTTGTCTGGGTATAACAATTATACTTAAGTATAATGTTCATTTCTACCAACGTAGATTGACTTTTAATCTCAGTTACTCAGTTTAACTTTTACTTTTCATCTTTTTCGAGTTTTTAAAGTTAGAAAAAAGATGAAGAGTAAGTTAAACCGAGATTAAAGTTAATCTATATATACATTGACAGAAATAGCCATAATTAATTAAGTATAATTTTGAATATAATTGACTTATGCTTAAATTAGATAATATTTAATATAATTATAATATTTACTTTGATAATTAATTAATAATCAACTTTAGATTACATTTAAAATTAAAACAACAATTACATGTTTGGAATTTTAATATTTAAATTTATTAGTTTATAAATAAAGTGGTGATGAAAGTTTTGAGAATTTATATGAGTTCTAATGTTATTAAAATTCCGTTTTTATTTGTAATACGTTTACGATTTCAAACTCGAGAAATAAATTCTCATGGTTACATTTACATACTTTATTATGAAAACAGTTCTAGATAATTTTACTTACGACCAATAGATTGGGATCGGTTCTCGGAGGGAATATTCCGCGTGTGCGAAATAGACCATTTATTTGAACGACGAATCCATAATATAGCAGCGAGATAAAACACCAGTGCGGAATCATTTCCTCGATAGGTAGTCTGCACTTTTATTGAGCGATGTATGCACCTCGGTATTATACAATATCTATTTATCAATATCTTTTACTTTATCCAACTTCTCTCTGCGCTTACTGGGTTTAAGCGAAGATTTAAATGAAGCAAACACACCATGCACTAATTTTTACAATACTATTCCAGTTATATCGAGAAGTTAAACGAATTTTTATATTATCGAGACTAAAAACAATTCATCAAGTTTCTTCTAAGAAATGTAAATTTATATAAGAGGCGACAAATACCGTGTGTATTTAAGAGATTGAAAATGAAAAACACGACGATGCGACAAGTAAGGTTCTTTAAATGATTCTCCCACGCGCCTTTTCATCCCGGGTTTCTTACCCCCCCTCTCTTCCGAAATGGTGATTATCGGTTTCGAGTCGTAGCGCGAACTGAGTAATTTCAACAAATCTACTTCCATACGCAAGTCCCGTGTCCGTTTCCGTAAATAGCAACCCCCCGTCGGCTTCGTCTCGCAATTTATCCAACTTTTGTCACTCACGTATTTCGAGGCCGTGGTTGTTTTTATTAATGACACGAATCACCGAAAGCCACGGCGGCGATACCGAATAGAGGAGGTGGCGGCCGGAGGACGACGCGCGATTATGATAATCGCTGACGTTATTGCATGCACCTTTTTGCAAAAAGGCTTTCGTTTGTCGCGCAAATAACACAGGTAATATTTCGCGCGCGTGTGTAATATTTCACGATATCACCGAATCCTCGACAATTACGTCAGGTGCCAGCCAATTGATAATATTAAAACGTGATAGCCGTGAAAAGGCATACGTCAGAAATTTTTTGGCGCTCACGTGCGCTGTCGCGAAATCAAGAATTAGACAATCTTACCGGAAATATTTCTGTCAATGCAGTATAATTGCCTGGGACAATTAAAATGGGACACTCTGTCCTACAGTGCCCGCCAAAAGTTCGGGTTATCTAAATAACTTCTGAACGATTCAAGATATAGGATTGAAATTTATAGAGATACCTACATGCAATGAGATCATAAAATCTCATATCATTCAATTTCGAAGATACTCACCTTAACACCCCCCGGGAGGCCAGAAAATCTTAAATCTTAGCATGTGGGATCAAATGAGGGCTCATTCGTGCCCTCAAAAAGCCTTAGGGGAAAGTGGGGGAACTGTGCGCAGCGGAGCACAGATCTCCAAGGGACATTCCAAAGAACATTCAGAGGATATCCCTATGTCCTAAGAACGTTTGCCAGAATGTCCTTCGAATAAAGTGTGCTATATTAGGGAGGTAATTGTGCACATCCTGGTACTTTTCCAATAGATGAAGACATCACCGTGGTGAAATTTTTACGCAGGAGGCTTGTATCTCTTAAGATATAACTACAAAAGATACGACATAAATACGTTGCTAACCAGAGAAATACAAAAAAGTGAAATCACATCTTTTCTTGTTATTTTAGCATTCAAAAAATAAGGTGATAAGTTCGTATTTTTAATTTATTTGTTTAAAAGTTGCATATGTTATTGAAGTACGTTATTATGTGCGTCTTTTGAGCTATTATTTATTAAGTTTGGTTAGGAAGTGTTGAAATAATTGTATTTCATATCGAGTTAGATCGTAGGAGGCAACTATGCGCAAGCGTTTTGAAATGCGCACAATTACCCATCTTTTATATATTATATGAATAGCACTAATTTTTTTCGTTTTTTCTTTGCATTATTATTTTATTTTGCCATTTTATTTTACCAAAGTCTGTGCATTATTATTATTATTATATTAGTTTTGTATTTTTGCTTAATATATAAGTATATATTTAAAATATATTTAATATATATTTATATTGCAATATAATAAATATATTTTTCGGTTTCTCTTTGTCAACATTCCATAATTCATTCATTTCCTACGACTTTGCTTTGCGCATAATTATCCGACGTGCGAGAAATTTTTTCGCTTTTCCGTTTTTTCCTTTTTGCCAAATACAACCTTATTGAATGAAAATCTGTTCAATGTGAGGATACGTAATGGTAGAAGAATGTTTATAGTTTCTATTTCCATACTTATATCGCTTTGAACTTGGAAAACCATTCCAGGACAATAAATTTCCCCTAGATGCGCACAATTCACCCACTTTCCCCTACCTATATCTTTCTCACGACTTCGCGCGTCATGAGTTCTCGTTACCGCAAAATCTCAATAACAATGTATAAATTTGAAAACAATAAAAAAAACGGCTGTTCTGGGAGCTGTTCTTGGCGCTGTTACGGATGCGCGATTATTTAGTAAAATTTTATATACAGGGTGTTCGGTAAGTTTTGACAAAGAACTCGTGTGTGTAGATAGAGCGGACTAAACTGAATCGAAAAATCCTTTACCACTTTGCAATTTTCGCAACTTTTTTTAGTTACCTATAATGAGCAAAATATCTAAGATTGACACATAAAATAACTTTAAGATATCTTTAAGATTTGTTGAAAAACATCTTTAAGATATCAGTATATAAAAAAAACTCTGAAAGAGAAATCTTAAAGTTGTTTATGCATTGATTTTACTCCACTTGTTTGTCAATTTTTAGAAATTAATATCTCGTTCATTATTACGAAAATTGCAAAATGGTAGAGGACTTTTCGACTTAATTTAGTCCGCTCTATCTAAATTTAGTACGCTAGCGCTTTCTCAAAACTTACCGGACATCCTGTATATATCTCGAACATTCATTTAAACGTTTCGGATAATCTTTTAGCCTTGCGATGAGTAAATCAGTTATACTTTACTTCGTATGTGCAAATTAGACATAAATTCACATGAGAATACCAATTACTCTCCAAAGCAACCCCATACTAATTGAACGCGGCTGGATGATGCAAAACTGTTGATCGATCTTTAAAAAATACAATAAGTATTATAAATAAATGAGGTTACCGTGCAAAAAGCGATTAATTTATCTCAATGCTGCAAAATTCAAATTTCAAGATGGTACATATCAATTGTCAATATTCGCCTTATACACAATAGTATGTCTTTAGACATACACCCCTTACAATTGATTAATGGACTGGTTCGATCACATAATAAAGAAAAAAAGATTGAAGATATGAAGGTTTGTTTTATAGATTTAACATCCTGTAAATCTCCTAAATGAATTTAAAAAATAATACGTAGGAATGTAGGGAATTGAAAGACGTTTGCTAATGCTGTATCATTTGATCCCCCCTTCCCATTTGAATTTTTTGGCATCCCCGCTTAGAAAAAAGTAAAAGTTGAGGATACGTTAGAAGATGTCCTCTCCCAATAAAAATCGATTTGTTTTTACGTTTTTGCGAAAAATCATTTTTATAGGAATTATTCAATATATTTCGATAGCCCACCCTGTATATACATATACAGAATGATACATGTATAGACTGTTGAATTTATTTTAAAATTTATTCTTAAAAAAAGGAGGTCCAGACTTTTTGCTTGCAATGAGATATAAGATACGCACGACATTGATACAGTTCGCAGGTCAACTATAGTTTCGTTCCAATAAAAGAATATTTACATACCATAAAGTCTTTATTTCACATGCGTAGTAATGGACTAAAAAAAGGAAAAGACAAGAGACACTCGAAGAATAATGTAATTGAATATGTTGTGAACTGTATAATCAATCGATTTTACATAATTACTTGATCTTCGCGTCTATTAAAATTGATGATTTTGTAAGCATGCATACATAACACGTATTCAATACTTCATTCGTTTCATTAAGCGTAAAAGATATCATTTCGATCAAGAATTCTCTTAATAATCTTCTACGGCTCTTTTCAACATATAACATCGTATATGTTGTGAAGTTACAAAATTGTAAAAAAATACATGTAAGAAAACGATAACGTATAGTGAGATTATATAAATAAAAGATGTATCATGTTGAAATTATACGGCGTATCGACTGAAATACGCTTGAAAGATTAATCATCGTAACTTTCGTTTTTTGTTACGTTTCTTCATGTAAACATGTTTTATGATTAACAACATGATTGTGTTCGCATAAACGACTGCAATTCATCAAAGACAATGATTTCACAATTAGCTACGATTACATAACATGTTTACTTACACATACACTACAATGTTTAAGTCCAGCTTTTGACAAATGAGTTTCGTTTAAATAAATTCTTATGCAAATATACAATAATGTTATTTCAATTCGGATTGCACACGACGTCTGTATTTGTACGAATTTATTTACATATATTTCCAAAACGATCAGAGATTAAGCAACAGTTAGGAAATACATGTCTTCCGAAAATCTCTCAAAAATCATCTCTTAGTTTTTAGAAGAGCATTTATCGCTAAAAAGTTATTCGTTAAGAATTAGCACAAATTAAATCCAATTTCGCGCTCTTTTAAAATTGATGAAACAACCAATTTCAGGCTGGGTTGTTCTATCATTCGATAAATCTCAGCTTACTTGTTCTCTCGCTGTCGTTCTCTTTCTTCCCTTATTTCTTTTATTAAATAAATTATAAATATTTTATTCAAAGGTAGAACAACCGGCCTTCAAGAGATTGGCAAAACCAACTTCAGGAAAATTGATAAAACAATTAGTTTTAGCAGAGCGTAAAATTTAAACTGGGATCTAGTTCGCGCCACTTCTCGTGATTTTTTATCATATATTCTCTTAATAATTTTGATAATTTTACAAAGCTATCGACAGATATATGCGTTACAACTCTCTGTCTTTCACTTATTACCTACCTAATTATCTTGAACAAAAAAAAAAGATAAATATAAAAAAAGTAAATACAGACATCTTAAAGTACAAATCGGCATGAAATAATATAGTTGCAAAAAATATTGTATATTATATTATACATACACACACAACTTATAAACACATACAACTTATAAACAAATGTTACTTTAATTATTAGAAAAGCTAAATTTGACGTGATAATAAAATATTTTACGTAATTTTATAACACAATGGCATGGAAAAAGCCAACGTATATTTGTAAACAATGATTTAATGAGGGACATTTATTTGCGACAGTTTTCTCCTTTTATTTAAATTTTAATAGATAAAAAAATGAGATAAATAATTCCAGTTATTGGAAATCTCTCTAGAATATTCTATTTATAACAAATGTGACCAAATAAAGAATTGTCTCAATTTGAAAGCATTAAACGATATTAATTTACAAGTGATGTGAGCAATTGAAAGATACTTCTGCGTGTACACGCGTTTTTCTACCGTACTTCAATATATATATATTCAATATACAGGGTGTTTCCAAATTAAATCGCAAAACTTCGGGAGCGTGTAGAGGAGTAAAAAACTAAGAAAAAAAGTCCTATAGACATATGCTCGTTTTTGCTCCGTTTCAGAGAAATCGAAAAAAAATGTTTACATTTCTTGCCATATCTAGCACCGACATATTTGATTACATTTTCCACTTTCTGTTATGAATTTGTCAGTCGCTCTTTGAAAGCCTTTAACAGTAGATGAATTTTGTCTTTTGCAATATGCCGCGTACGTATTCTAATAGTGAATATGCTGATATGGTTTTTGTATACGGTTTCTGCAACGGTAATGCTTTAAAGGCGGTGCGAGAATATGCACGACGATTTCCAAACAGAAGAGTGCCAAACCGAAGAGTGTTTATGTTGACATTTAATAGATTGCGAGAGACTGGAACATTTTCAATTCGACAAGAAAACAACCGATTTCAAGCAGCGTTACGAAGAGATTTGCAGGCAGGGAATCGTATTTTACAACATTTTGACAATCATCCTGAGACCAGCGTTCGGAATGCGTCGGCTGTATTGGGAGTGTCACCACAAACAATTTGGCGAACTGTAAAAGGAGATAATCGCTATCCCTACCACATTCAAAAAGTGCAAAATTTATTACCTCAAGATCATTGGAACAGATTGAACTTTTGTAACTGGTACCTTCAGACATGCCACAATGATATTTTATTTCCATCTAAAATAATGTGGTCAGATGAGGCAACATTTACCAGAGGTGGAATAATTAATCAAAGGAATTATGGGCTCATCAAAATCCCAGGTCTGTTAGAGAATACAAATTTCAGCAAGAGTTTTCTGTTAATGTCTGGCTTGGAATTTGGAACGACGTTTTAGTGGGACCGTTTTTTTTACCTGCAAGATTAAATGGGGACCGTTTTCTAAATTTCTTGGAGAATGAATTTTCTGACTATTTAGAAAACATCCCATTACAACAACGTACTGAAATGTGGTTTCAATTAGATGGATGCCCTGCTCATTACAGCAGAGTCGCTAGAACCTGGTTAGATAGAAAATTCCCACAACGATGGATTGGACGTGGAGGAGCAGTACATTGGGCAACTCGTTCGCCCGACTTAACGCCATTAGATTTCTATGCATGGGGTACTCTGAAGCAAGAAGTTTATTCTTCGCCTATTCAATCAGAGCAACATTTGAGAAATCGTATCGTAGCTGCAGCGAACAGAATATCGCAAGAACAGTGCCTGGCTGCTACAAGAGCCGTGTTTGACAGATGCAATGCTTGTATTGCTGCAAGAGGTGCACATTTCGAACAAAATCTTCATTAAAAAGTTTATAAATAAAATAATTAAAATAATAAATTAAATATATTTTTTTCTTTTTTCGTGATTTCCTGCGAAACAAAGCAAAAAGGAGCATATGTCTATAGGACTTTTTTTCTTAGTTTTTTACTCCTCTACACGCTCCCGAAGTTTTGCCATTTAATTTGGAAACACCCTGTATAATCCGTGCGTCACACGTTCAACAAGACAAGTTTTTTAACATCCTAGATTTCGCGAATGGATTACTATGTGTCGTAATCCTCATCAATGTTGGCGGTGCGAGCAAAGTTTGACGTTGGCTGGTCGCTCACACTCGGGTTAAGCTCTGTATAAAAATTTGGTCGACTAATTTGGAAGGCCGTAGGTACAGACATGTGGAATTCCGGAATTTGCGAGTGTCCGCCCACTGTCGTCGCGGCCCTTTGATTAGCGGGATTCAAATCGCTCGGAATTACGCTCGATCCGTTATCTCTCGTGCTCTTGTGATTTACATTCATTTCGGTGCTAACTGGTAACCCCAGATACTTTTGATATCTAGAGAAATACGAATCGTGACTGTTGGAAAAATTCTCATACAGGCAAATCAAACAGACTCACTCTAATGGATCGAAATGCTGCATCATCGTCGAACACGCGGTGGCTGTATTTGGCGTATTGCTTTGCGATGTTTCTGGTGACATAGGTACTTCGTCATCAGGTCCCGATACATCAGGTAGAGATTTCACTAGATCTTTTAAAAAGTCGAATCGGTTTTCCGACAGGATACACTGTTTCCTACAAACAATAAGCTACAACAGATGCTATGCAAGATTCTTTTACTTATCAAAGTATTTATGATTAAAATAATTTTTTACTAGCTCACCAAGGGTCCTATTCATAGTCGTGACATCCGATTTGAATTAGGTTTCAGACTTTCATTTGAAAAATGCTTCTCTAATCACGCTTTAATAAATTTGATTGATTCAAACTTTGGTTCAAACTTAGTTTGTCGGTAGGCCTATTCTGTAACTTTTCACAATTTGGTATCGTTATACTGTCGTTGTGCAGCTTTTTCACCATGTAAAATACCTGCGCAATGACATCCCTAGCCAGTAAAATTGTTGTTAAAAAGTTATAGAATAGACTCTTATATATCTTAAAATGAGGATCAATCATGAATCGATCTAAGACTATGAATACGGATCCAAGAGATATAAGAGAAACGTTCATTATATTGTATGTATTGTGAACAATGTTTTAAAAATTTTTACAGCTCATGAATCAAAGACATAGAGAATGGACTGCGCGATCCGTGTGTCAAAATGGTCGATAAAAGTAAGAGAGAGGGACCGTGGAAGACGACCATCTCTATCTCTTTTCATTCAACGGTGTAATGGGAGAGAGAATAGGGAGTTTTTGCAATAACGTGGATCCAGATACGGTGAACGCTCACGTTATCCTTTTCTTAATTAGTTGTTGAGAAGAAGATAACCTGACCTTAGTGTTCACCGTATCTGGATAAACCATATTGCAAAAACTCCCTAATGAGAGGGAGAATGACCGTTTTCCACGGTCCCTCTATCTCATTATTGTCGACCACATTTGAATACTACTTATTGTTAGATACGGATCGTACAGTCCATTTCTCTATGTCTTTGTTATGAATATAATGTCTATTTGCTACAACGAAACTTAAAAAATAAACAATAATAAATAAAAACCGATCAAAAAATAGAATTTTTTTCTGAAACATAAGTTTGAATGTTTTAATTCATTAAAATTTATGTTATTTTTAAATGCAATTTTGTTGTAATAACTGATTATAGAAGAATAAAAGTTGTTTCTTTTTTATGTTCTTTGCAAATAATTAAAAAATAATTTTTGAGTTATTACTGCAGCAAATGAGCGCAAGACAAACTTTGATAGGTCTGAACCATGATATTGCTGTTTACTCACATATGAGACGGACTTAGAGTCTTGGCGTTTTTGGCACTCGTGATCTGCATAGTCTTGGTTAATAAGGAGTGCACAAACAGTTCTAAGGTCCTAGGTAAACTTCATTAAGGAATAATCCAAATCTGACAAACATGGTAAATAAAGCAAATATATTCTCTATTATTATCAAATTTATGAGGATTCATGCTCGCGAGAAAGAGAATAAATGTAATGTTATTTATTAAACAATATATCCTCCAAAACAAAATATCCTCAAAGATAAAGAATATTATAGACAATACAAGAAAAATATCAGAGTATTTCTTAGTACTGCTTAGTACTGGGATTCAGATCCAGGCTTTTCTTGAGTTTCTTGGAGAACTATTCTGCGACTGAGCCACAACAGCTTTTTTGAGATATTTCTGTGTTTGGCCCATGTCTTGCAGTTAGGCCAGCCTGATAACGTTTATCATGTCACTGATGGCTTTTCATTTCAAAACCTTCAGATTCTCTTGATTTCCTTCTGTCAACAATGTATTTTATTACCTCATGTATTTCGTAAATAGCATAATCCTTTTTCTAGGCCTTTTATCGTCTAAGTAAATCTAATCTCACTTTTGAAAACTAGACGACAATATGAAAAAAATATCAGGGTGCTCCAGGATATTGCTAAAATTCAAATCTGTTGAGGTGAAAGATCTCTTTTTTTCCTTCTTCAGCAACCATTCTGTCAAACCAACTAACTCTTTTTGATATTTCTGTCCCACCCATCATATCGTACAATATTATATATTACCTTTGACATATGGACACAAACACTGTGACAGCCAAGGTGCAAAATATACGAAAGAGGAGGGGGGGGAGAGAGAGAGAAAGCGCGCGCGCGAGATAAAGTTGTAGGAAAAGGATATAGATTATGATTGGCACCGCCTGGGCGACCTTTCCGACCTCCTCATCTGTCTGCATGATCTTCTTGATACGACCCTGACAACAGACATGCGGGATTTAGGTTTAGGTTATGTCACTCGTATATGTCAGATCAGCGGATCGCGACATTCATAAAAAGCAAAGCATGTTCTTCCGTTGCGGTAATAAACATCGGAGACGCGAATCGAGACGACGAGCAGACTCCAGGTCCGGAGTCCACGTTCACTCTCTTTCTCTCCCCATCTCTTCGCGTCAACGACGTGCGTTCCGCGACGGAATGGGACTGGACGGGATAGGATAAAACCGAGAGGATACGCTTACCGCTGGAAAACGAGCGTTGTATTTTTTCTTCTTGCTGGGCATGCCGTTATCGCGATATTTTATGACGCGATACGGCACGATATTGACGGTATTGCACGGCGAAACCCAGCGCAACCACCGCAGAACGGTAGACGGCGTAGAGTCGCAACTCGCAACACGCACGCACGCGACACGACGCGATCGCGTGCGTAAACAAACGGGGCTAGAAGGGGTAGAGGAGACGGCGCGGCCGCGGCCGCGGCGCATCAAGTCGGCGTCCCATGGAGCGGAAATTTACAGCAGAACGGAACAGCGCGACCAATCGCAACTCTAGTTATTATTCTGCTTTTTTTTTTGTCGCGATTGTGATTGGTCGTGCTGTTCGGTTCCGCTGTAAATTTCCGTTCATGGTGCGGAATGTATACGCAATGCGGAATTGGCGGAACGATGTCCGTCCAATCGCAAGCATTCCGATTCGTCAATTGCGCTCCGCCGATATGTCTTTTCTAAACCAATCATGAGCGTTCCGCTAATTCCTCATTCCGCCAATTCCGCATCATGGGACTGCACCATAATAGCTTCTGCACACTGGATGCGGAAAAGCTTTCCGCGCGGCAAAATGTGACGCGGTAACCAATGAACATGTTAGGAGTTGTAAGCTTATTGGTTATCGCGTCACATTTTGTCGCGCGGCAAGCGTTTCCGCGTCCAGTATGCAGGAGCCATAACAGTCTCTAACTAGAGTGTCTGCGCTTCTCGTATCACGACTCTGATTAGAGGATCTCTAGACGTGATTGAAGCTCTATATATCAAACTATAAGTTTCCACCGAGGGTCACAGTTGGGTCGGAATGTGCGAATTGACTAATCACAGTCGAGTATTCCCCTCTTACAGTCGAATGACAGGGGAATGCTTGACTGTGGTTGGTCAGTTCTTGCACTCTGACCCAACTCTGACCCTCAGTGGAATAGAGACCAGTGACTGTAATGCGGGATCTACAATAGAAG